GCACTGGGTGTTATATGCAAACAATGAATCATGGAACACTACATCAAAAACTAATGATGTAATGTATGGTGATTAACATAACACAATAAAAAAAATAAGGAAGAACTAAAAAATTAATCTTTATTTTAGAAAATAAACATTTAGAAAGAAAACTTATCTCACTTTTCATTTGAAATAGCACTTTAAGTATTAGTTCTAATTAATGGAGAAAGATGAACTTTTGTAAAGCTTGGACTGTGACTTCCTAATGAGGTATTATTTAAGATGCTGAGTATAAAGAGAAAGTATATGATATAATCAAAAGTTAATTGGCTGCTACATAAAAAAAATTACATTTCAATTTATGTAATTTTCAGCAGGTAAAATATTTAATTCCTTAAGACAAAAACGTCCAAGTTGTTAAAATTCTAAAATTAATCAAGTTAAATCAGGTGGAGGGTTGGAATTTCCTTTGTTCCCTGAGCTTGATGAGACTTGACTTTGTTTACCCCTCCTTCTAAAAATTACTATTTAAACATCCTGTATTTCTATATTCCCATTTGAAAATGATACACAGCTCTGGTGATTTATAAGACCATTAGGCAAACCAGGGCAATGACCACATGTCCTAAGGCCATAATTTGAATTTTACCTCCTTTTTGGCTAAGCTTTTCCCAAAATGAAGGTTTGGGAACATATTTTACTGCATACACAGACTTAGTTTAAAATAGAATGGAACTGCCTTTGAGCAGAATAAGTTTTTATTACTTAATATTTTAGGTTACCTTATAGAACCTAGAATTTTAGTTGTGTCCAAGTAAAGATGAAAAGAATAGGATTATTTTCCCCCTTGACTGCGGTTAAAAGGAAAAAAAAGAATCAGGATGTGAGAATCATTTACTCTGTGAGCTTCAGTTTTTATTATTGAATATATAAATCATGTAAAAAAACTTTGAGAAATTATTGCTATACTTATGCCCAAAGTTAATTTTATGTCATTTTATTTATAATGAGTAAGATAGAATTAGATGACACTGGGAGTTAGAAGGGGCCTTGGCAAGCACCTGGTTCAACCTCCAGGGTGGAGAGAAACAGGAAGCCCCGAGAGATTCTGAGACTCACTCAAGGCCTGTATCCTACTTGGAAGCAAGTTTGGCTCCAGAGACCATGCTCTTAACCATGACACTAGACCACCCCCTTCCTTATAAAACTCAGTGTTTATTGATTGATGTCTACAGGTCAATATTCGACATTTTGTATTTTGTTAACATGCAAATTTTAAAACAAGTTAAATGAAACCCTGTGGAGAACATACAGACTTTGCATCTTAGGATATATACCCATGAAATGTAGGATTAACTTTAATTTATAGGTAGAATGGAAATAATACTTTTGGCACTGAATTGTTTTTTTCCTTATTTAAAAAAAAAATAAAAAAAACAAGAGGGCAAGAAATGAAACAACAATACCGAGGAAAAAGCATTGTGTCCCTTTGGGCCATCCTCACAGAAATCTCGGAAGTAGCTGCAAATTAACTCATATTTTAACTACACCAGAACACTGGCTCTTATTTTGAGGGTAGGGGGAGTTATAGATTACTTCATAGTCTTATAATGGCTATGGATTCTTGTTCCAGAACAATGAATATGCATTCAAAAATTCTGCAAAATAATTTTATAATGTCTGTGACCTCTAGGTTAAGGAAGGTCTGCTCTAAGAAATCTCTTGAATTTCTTGGGACAATTTCTAAGTATCTGAAGTCTGAGTGTTTCTGGATTGGGTTCTCTTAACATGTAGCTTAATATTATATATTTAGAAAATTTAAGTGATCTGTTTCATTTCTAATAATTTCATTACTAGTATTTAGTATTAGTTACAATAATTTTCACAATAACTCTCTGATATGGAAAAAGACATGAGCAAAATCAGCTTCCCCAGCCATTCTAATAATCTAAATATTTAGGAATATACTTTGTAAAGAAAATGAAATCCATTAACACATAGTATCCATGCATAAAACATTCAGCCAGATAGTAAAATTCATATTGGTCTCAGCAGGAAATGGTTATACTCTAGACAGTACTTCTGGTGTGCTCAACAAATTAATGTTTGAGAAAAATAGTATGTGAATTACTTCTTAAATTCTCTAAATTGTGTGTACACATAGAAAATGGTTGGATTCTCCATATGTCAACCTTAGAAATAAACATCTTTAAGAGAATGATACTTCTTTTATTTATTTTTTTAAAGATTTTATTTATTTATTTGAGAGAGAGAGAATGAGAGAGAGCGAGCACATGAGAGGGGGGAGGGTCAGAGGGAGAAGCA